TGTTGTAATAATGAGTAAAGATCCGAAGGAACAATGGCCTTGGGGTTTGTTGAAAGTGAAGTACAAATCTGCTTACGTAGAGGTTCGAGAGCAATTAGATTCTTTTTCTGTTGGAAACTTGTAAAGAAGTTGCTGTTGTATTTTGCGGTTGAAACGCAGCCTGACATCTTTAGCTGCTTGGAATTTCTTTTATTCAGGACTTGTTTGTTTAGGTCAATGAGCTTGAGAAATTGGAGTTTCCTGTGCGCAAAGATGGGCCTGTGGCAGGTGAAAACAGTGGATTTCCGGAACAGGTTTTTCTAAGCGTGACTTTTAGTAATTCTGTTGCTCAATCTCAGAATGAAATTTTTGATACAGTTTAATTTTGGTAGATCTATACTGTTTGTAAAAGAGAACTAAACTCTAAAGTAAAATAAATCAGGAAGATTTTTTAAAATAGTTTGGGTCTTGGACATGTTTAGCAACTAATTTTTTTTTTGGTATGATTTCTGTATTTCTGTGAGAAAACAAACATCACTTTAGTTGTAGATAAATGTTTTATTCGTGTTTCATGTTGGGAGCATATGCATTGTGATATACCAAGTTATTTTCTGGAAGAGTAGGGATTAGTTTTTCTTTTCTGGTTTTTGCAGAAAGCGAAGGATGAGATAGTGGCAAGTATCGTGCGTGATTGCTATGAACCTGATTTTCTTCAACGGAAAAAGGTCAGATTTTTCTCATAATTTTGTGCTTTTGAACTAATTAACAGTTTTCAAATAACCTAGCTTGCGGAGTTCTGTTTCCGATGAAGGAAATCGTGTAAGTTCTATGTGATAAACGAGGTAGTTTCTTATATTGTGAAATCTAAGACTCTGAACAGTAATGATGCAAGAATGAAAGTAAAGAAACGGAGGAAATTTATGGGATGTCTGGTAGTTTCCATTTCCATAACCAAGAAGTTTGAAGCGAATAGGAGAATTTATTGGCTATTGCTGCAAAATTCACATTTGTTGGGAAGTAATGTTGTTTCGCGGTTTGTTCCCTCAGTTGGTCAGTTTCATTGTTGTAATATTTTTGACAAGTCAGGATTTGTTCTAATTATTTATATCTTGGTGCATTTGATGCCAGTCTTTGGGGAGTTGTTTACAACTCAGTTCTTGGTAATTGATAATTCCATTAGTAGTTATTGTAAGTTTGAATATAGTTAGAAAGAACGTCTAAGTATTTTAGAGCGGCTGATAGCTTCCTTATCCTTTCATTTGTCGACTTCGTAATTTTTTTCGAAGAATGGAGCGGTATTTTTTCTTGGAAGCTTCCAGCACCTATGTCTTTGTAAACTTTTCAGCTGGAATGTTCTTTTCATGTAATTTATTGAACATTCTGCACTTTATTCCTAATCGAATGTATTTACAGCCTCTTAGCATGGCGATTTTTTTGTATTGTACAGGAGGTTACGGTTTTTTGTTCAACGCTACTAGAGGGGTTGTTGCAGTACGGCCGGAACATATTGGGTTTTTCATCTTTTGCATAAACTAAATAAATAATTATTAACGAAAGGAACTAGTGTTGTTATTTGACCTGTTTAACTTTTCCTTCTTGGCAGTTCATTGCCAACCTTTTAATACTTTCAGCGCTTTTTAAGTGGGCGATTTAAATTTCAGTTCTCTTACCCCTGGAATTTGGGTAAGTACGGAAATAATTCGTATAAAGGATTCTTCTGGGGAAGCTTGTCGTTATGTCACTGTCTCACCTCTAAAAAAAATTGATGACGTTCGGCCAATTCGTGTGCGTGGAGGTGGTGTCCAGGTATTTCTTTAAAAAGTTACGCTGAATATAATTTTAATTGTGTTGTGTGTACCTTTATTTTTTGTAGGTACAAGTGATTACCGAACCTGGCGGAAAACAGGAGGTGTTTGGTGGTTGTACCTATATAATTCGTCGATGTGAAGTGGGAGACATCCGCATTCCTTTTGAGAAGTTAGTTTGGATTATGACTGTCTGACAGAAATAAGAACCTTTGGCAATCCATAATTTAATAGTTCAGTTCAGTCATTCTTGACTAAGTACTACGATGCTTTGACATTGTTTTTCAGGATCAGGACTACAGATAGAGAGAAACGACTGAGTGTATGGGCTTCATTTTCGGAGAATGGCTTTTGGGAAGTTGATTTAGAAGAAGACCTTTGGGAAGTGAGTTTTAAATTGCAGTTTCTGTGTGCAAGATTGAAGATATTTTACTGTAATGGCTTCTTTGCTGGTATTTTTGAGCTGTAGTCACAGGTGAAAAAGAAAGGAGCAGAAAGTGAGTTATTGCAAACACTTGGTACGAGTAACACAAAGGTTATTACTGAACCAGTACCCTCCGGAGTGAAGGAGGTATGTTTTGAAGTTTTGAGACGCATACAAAGTGTAATGCAGTAGATTGGAGCTCTTTGATAAAACTGATTTTTTTAGAGACAGAGTTGTATTGGTTTGCAGCGACCCAATTCAGAAAATGGGTTACTTGATGGTTCTGCAGTTGTTAGTGAAAAGGAACTTCAAGAACCGTTAATTAATTTTGACAACTGTACCTCAAGTGAGAATAGTGCGTCTGTTCAAAAAGTCATGGATTCCCAGAATAGGTGCTTGCTAGACCTTATACCAATCTTTGAAAAAAAAGAAGTAGGTTCATTTTGGGTGTTGATTATTCCATAATTATCAACCTTAACGTTTTATTGTCGAGCTAAATTTTCATGCAATTGAAGAGTTCAGTTAAACGTGTCTCTATTTGCACTTTGACTCATCCGGTCTTACAGATCACGTTTTTCTCTGCATTACGCGACATTTTAAAAGATGAGGAAATAAAAGGACTAATAAGGCAGAAAGGCCTGTCTAATGAACTGGACTTTATTCTGAAGCAAATTGACTATGCATAAAGGTGACAGAATTCGTGGAGATGGTTGCTCGATAACTGGATATTTCGGAAGTTGAGTATTTTGCTAAAGTTGTGATTGATGTTTTTTTTCTATTTTTTGTCTATATTTTCTGAATTACGTGGAAGAAGGATTATTTCCATTGTCCGATATATTAGAAAGGCCCAGGATGTAGAAAGGACTTTGCTATGAAGGCGTTTGTGAATTGGGTTGTGAGACTTGTTTGTTCGTACTGGCTTCCTTACTAGTGTTTTAGTCTTTAACAGTGATAGGGTGATCTCGCAGTTATTTGCTTAGTCGCACTCACTACTGCACTGTTTTGGTTAGCTAACGAGGTCTGTAGGCATGTGTTAGCTCATTTTGTTGCGAATGTATGGCAGCCAAATATTTCTCGTTGATTTTTCTTTTTGAGTAATGCTATGCATTTCAGCTGTAAAGAAAGTTAAAAAAGAAGTATGAAGCGATGCGATGTTATTAACATAGTTTAATACTGAGGTTGTTAATTGTCATTTTATTGGTTTTGTTTCGGGTTTTTTTGTAGAGTGGGTTTTTTTGTGCTGTAACCAAGGACTGGTCATTTTTTGAACTGTGACAGTTTCCTGCAGATTGTTCCTTTCTCAGAGAGATTTTTTTTTATTGGAGCTTCATGTCGATAAAAGTACATGTTAGATAGTTCACCTAAACATCTGCAGGACGGTTCGGTTTACAAAGGAAGACGTTGGAACAAAAGCTTTGGACGCTTGCGGAGCTTCCCATGGAGCTACAGTCGATGTACCGTAGTTTAGTTAACTCTGCTGGGACAAACGCCCCTTTAACATAAATCTTTTCTGACCTTCGCTGGCTGTAACGCTGAAAAAGGTTGAATTGATTGTTCATAAAAGGAGCTATGTCATGAGTAGCTGGTGAAGAGTGGATGTGAGTGCTTATGCTACCGAAGGGTTTCTTAGAGCGGTATGCTTCTGGCTACTCGAAAACTAGAGCAGGTGTGGCTTACTTTGTGGAGTAGCGTCGCGTAACGTTTTAGATCCGGGACGTGGACCATCTTTCCACCAACGTTACCTAGGACGAACCTGACGTCGTTTATGGCGCGTCCGAAATTATGTAATTTCCTTATATACTGGATCCCAAAGAAGTCAACGCACATTGTCCTGAAATATTGGGGTTGTAGTATATTGTTAGTAAATGCCTGATTCGGTGCGAGTACATTATCAGTGTTGGAAGATTGTATTGTTCCCTTATTACTTACGTTATGGCAAGACCGACGATAATGTACAACAGGTCAATCATAAGAAGCCCCTGTTTTGTTGGGACGATGTCGCCAAAGCCGATCTAAATCTTTGGTTAAAAGCCGCATATTGTGATTGGATGCTTTCAAAACCACTAGTCAGTTTGCCTGAGTTTCTTAAGTGTGACGTAATGGTCAGTTAAGTTCATGATGGCGCAACAGTAAGAATTAAACAGAACAAACTACTGATTACCGTTGTCAGTGTTATGAAGGAAAAGTAGAAACCGGAAAAGAAGTTCCATTTCTCCCAGGCAGACAATATTGCCGCCCCAAATGCGATATAGCCAAGTAAAATTCCAATGACAAGTGAGATAGGGATTGCGCTATTCTCAAGTCCTAACTAAAACCAGCAGAGTGGCAGTGATTAGATTTCAAATTTGCTGGCAACAAATTGTGTACTTTATTATTTTACATTATTAGTGTCGTTGTGCGTTACTGTAGAAAGTTATAAGTAGCCTACTGCGGGTGCAAAAATCAGGTTTACTACACCTGGGTTAATTCTTCTCGGATTTGTGTTTCGTCATCTGTATCGGTGTTTGAAAGACGACTGAATTTTCGTTTCTGGTACCTTCGTCGTGCCTCTGAGTACCTGGAGCGATAAAACATTCAGCAGTTGCTATTAATATTGTGGAATTTGTCTATTGCTGTAAGAGAGTTGTTTATCTTTCACTGATTTTATTTTTCTTTTATCTTTGAATTGTATTTTATAAAAAATTAGCTTTTAAATTTCAGTACGATTTGCTAACGTGTTACACAACTTTTTGTAAACTGTAACTCACTTTGCATAAAGTTTAATGATATGTTCACTTAAAAATTTGCCAATATCGGCAACCGTAATGAGCATCAGTGGCACACCAAAAAGTGCGTAAACAACGCAGAACATTCGACCTTTTGGCGTTATTGGTACCATGTTACCGTATCCTAAAGAGTTCGAAAAATTTAATTTTATTTTCTCAGCATCACAATAGTGTTTATTAAGAAAGTATCATATTATTTGTTTCAATATCTTAAAATTATTTGTAGTGATGAAAACAAAGAAAACAAGTTTTTTTAGGCTTACCGATAGAGGTTAGTAAAGTAGTAGTGAAAAAAATTGCGTTTGTCAATGTCCATGTGCGCTGGATGTCGCTGTGTCGTTTACTCAGATGGTTAGCAGTAATAAAATCGGTATCATAAGCTTGAAACAAAAGCTTTGTTGCTCCATCCACATAAAACTGTGCTCTTTCTTCTATTTCTTCTAAAGTGAAAATTGTTTACCTTAGTAGCCGAGATTTTGTTATTTTAGTGAAATAATAGTCTATTATATTAATTAGTAAAGGAGTGAAGAAGAAAAGAGAAGAAGAAGATAGCAAAAGAAGAAAACAGGAAGAAAACTTTAATCTACTCTTCTTTATTGACAATGGTTTTTTTTTGTTTTCCTTTTTAAAAGCTAAAGTAGTATGTGATGTCAGTCAATCGATTCTTGTATATAAGCATCTGGATACATGAAAATAGATGTATTTATGTAGGTGTATTTGAATTACTGTAGTAATGCTGCTAAAAAGTTTTGTAGTAGTACTGTTATAATTTGCCTTCGGATTTTTCTACAGTAAAGCTATGATAAAAAATTGGTAAAAGAGGGCCTCAAAGTAAGAAGGCCCTATTGTCTGGAAACTTCTTTTCGCTATCTTAGTAGTCTTCTAAGTTTTTCTTAAGCCTAATTTTTTTTTCTGGTGACCTTTGTGAATGATTTCAATTAAATGAGCAACATTATATGTCATTTTAGATTTACAGTATCAATGCTGTGTGGTCGTCAACTAATCCAGAAATTTCCACTACCTCTTTATGGTTGGTATTTAAGGTTACATATAAATATACACATTTACTGTATTTGTTCTGCCGTTGCAAACACTTAGTAATCTACCTTTTCTCTTTTCTTTTTTTTTTTGTTTGGTACACATAGTTCACGTTTTGGTTAGGAAGCTAAAAGAACGGAGCAGTAATTTTGGTAATTTGGTAACACTATAATTTTAGAATGATTGTTGCGAACATGCGCAAAATGGCAACCTTACATTATAAGGTTACCGGCTGCTGCATGTTCTTCGAGGGGACGCTCTGGGAGGCACAGCAAACGGGCTCACTAGAAAGGGGGAACAGGTGTATAAATAGGGAGTGAGGCTTCATTTAAGGTTAATTCTTTGTTTTAATCAACATCAATCGGTACAGTCTTTTTGGAGTTTTTCTACTTAAGCTGTCTTCACGTGTTCATCGGTGAATATTGCTATTGTGTGCAACTTTATTTATGACACTTTCTGTTTTATTTTTCTATTATTACTCTGTGAAATATATAGTAGATATAGACGCTGCTATCGTGAATTCGTATCTATTATATTATTTCAAAATGAGTAATAAAGTGGTTAGTACTAAGATTATTATTGTCCGTAGAGCATACCACCCAGTCAATAGACGAGGACGAGCTAATCCAAGGGTTAAATCGAAACCTTCCGAAGTTAACGAGGCAAGAGTTTCAGCATTGAACATAAGGTTAATTGACCATTACAAGGAGTTTAAGACTGGTGTACGTTCCAAGCCCAAAGAAGAAATCTAAGGGGCCAAGATTGGTACTGTGGGCAGGAAGGGCTAATTACACTCACGGTAAAGACTGTAGAGATAAGGTCTCAATAGGACGCTGTAGGAGAGGAGACGTCGAGGTCAAGTCTCCAAAGCTTTAGAGTTCTGCCTGTGGCCAGGACAGTAATTCCACTTTTTTTTCGCCTCAATTGGAAATAAACAAAAATTTAACCCTTTGATACTGTCACGTTGTTGATCAATTTCCACATGTTGGAAAGCATAGTTTGTCGATGTTCATCGATCAGCTTAATATTCCGTTCCCAAATTTCAACTTCATTTGGCTTTTCAAGATGATAGAAGACAACTGCACCACCAGATACATACAGAAGTGAAAGCAATATTAAACCTACATGTGGAATGATAACTCGGGCAAGTTCTTTCCAATTTTCAGGTTTTTGTCTTGATATCTAAAAAAAATTTCTTCAGTTATTAATGGTTGGCTAAAATTTTTGAAATTTTTTACGTCTCACTTTTATTCACATAGGTAACGATGAAAGTGATGGAATAATCTAGCTTCTTTTCTTCTTTTGTGATTTTAGAAATTTTATTTGAAAAAAGTGATTAATGGACTGTAAAAATTAAGTCACAGTAGATCTTACAATTTTAGACACCAACGTTATAAACTATTGTTGTAAAAGGAATTGGTTTAAACATGTCATTATTGAGTTTACAAGCGGCACTTTTTGTCGCTGAGTAGAGTTCAAGTTTAGAAGTTGTTTTTTTCTAAGATAATGTTCATGATGAGCAATGAAGGGTCTCCTCTACGATAGAATATATTCATATATATTGTTTACTTCTCTAAATTATTTGAATTGATTAAGGAAAAGTATGGGCAAGAATGTTATTCAATCGTACGATTTCCTAAATTGATGAAAACTAAATTACTCTTATAATTTGGTATTCACATATAAGTGTAAATATGTATATGTATATGCATATATATATATATATATATATATATATATAT